TATTCTTGGCGATGTGGCAGATTTCCAAGTGAGGTAGCCACTAACAGGAAGCAATTTAGACCATTCAGAATTAATGGGGATTGGCTGGTGATTCATGCTGTGCATAGCCATTCTAATGTCTTCAAAAAGTTCAGTCGGACTTCTTTCTAAAATATGGGTTTCTTCCGAGATTACTTCCACGACTTTCTAAAGCCAATTGCTAGGCTTTCTAAAGTATGGGTTTCTTGTTTGAAGTTTGGGGTCTACATCACTGAACTCATTTTGTTCCACTGGAGCAGGTTCCTCGATTGTTGAAATCATATTATTCCGACACATATCCTCTATGGAATCTGATAGTGTGTAACTCGCTTCTGAAGGAGCAAAAGAACTCGCCACTCTGCTTCCAATTTCTTTATTTTCCTTATATTCTCCAAGTGTTGTTTATGTGCTTCTGCAGATCGACGACCATATTCCGGCTTCTCATTCCGGAGGTGAAGTTCTTTCTCAAGCATCCAAAAACTCAAGATGATGAAAATAACATGGATGCAAATAGTATTTTTTTTTAAAAAAATTTAGGTGAATATATGTTATTTAAATGAATGAATTTAGTAAGGATGAGATTGGAATATAACGTGGATGCAAATAGTATTTTTTTTAAATTTAAAATTTTATTAGAGATGAATTTAGAGTGGGATGTACTTATAAAAAATGTGGATAGAAATAGCGGTACCCATATTTTATTAAGAAAAGAAAAAGAGGGGAAAATCAAAATAAAATTCAAACTGACAATTAGAGAATACCTAATTGGCCAACCCAACCATCAAAATCGAAGACTTTTGCATTTTTATTTATTTATTTATTTTTTTTGGTATATCCTTCTCTAATTGAAATCCACCCTCAGACTTTTACTTTGTAATTAAAGCATTATATCTCTGCAATAGAAACAATTTCTTCCATTTTTTCTTCTTGTTGGATCTTGAATTGATTTTGATATGTTTATTAATTGGTGATAACTCTAAATTGAACTTTTTTACGTTTAAGAATGTTGTACTTTTATATTTTTACCTATTTTTTATTTGTCTCTAAAATTATTATACAATTTTTTTAATGTTTATTTGTTTGATTAAAATCTGATAATCTTCTATATTATCGAACAATATATTTTGGTTGAAGATTCTTTTGGACGATACATTATGTGATGCAGACATTATAATTTAGTTTAAGATTTCATTACTGTTAAGAGTTTATCCTTTTTGGAGTAGATTGAACTTCTACTATTTTATTTTTGTCATTTAAAGAAATGCCAAAATTTTTCTCATAGGGATTAGTATTATATGTTTGTTATGAAAAAAATATATTGTTCTTGAAAAGACCTTTCCAAAAATTTTCCCCTAAGGCTCTCAAGTTAATTGAGCCAACATTGCATAAATATGCATACCTTCCTTGAATACACATCCATCAAAAATAAAAAATACGTGTTACCTCTATATGTTATGTGCATTGAAAGACCTCAAAGGCCAACATGAAATAATTTAGTATATATTTTTCCCCCACTTAGAAATCCCCGCGTACTCAAGCGTTGACGCTTATTCACTGAAACGTGCAGTTATTTGTGTCATAGTTAAGTGGAACAAGTTTCCCTGGACGAAACATTTGCAACTTTGTCCAATATATTGTTACCTTGCATCCTATGGATATCTTTATTTCTTCATCGCTTTCATTACAACTTGGAGGTTGCAAGACATTTATTCTCCCCCTTATGTTGCACCGTTTATTGCCAAGCAAGCCAAGATAGATGATTGAGTTTTTCGTTTTTATGTTACTCGTTTAAAATATAACACATTTAAATTACCTATATAACTACTTAGCCAATATTGAGTTATATAAC